TTTAGATGGAAGTCTTTTACATCTGTTCTGTGTTCATCTGACTGTTCATGGAATGTTGAACAAAACTTACTGATTAGTTCCTGTGTGAATGGAAATTAAGTTGTTTGTTTTACTATTTTAAAGGTTATTTTAATACTTCTTTCCTTTTTACATATCAAAACAGGAACAAAAATCTGAAGTGTGATAAGTGCTTTATGAAAAAACTTCTATATAGTTGAAGTTATTTGATATTCAAAATCGTATCTTTAACCGGTGGAAGATCTTAGAAAGGATTTTATACTTTTTTTAATAACCCACGTGATAAGAATCTTCAGTTTGTCTGTGTATGTGTGGCTGACTAGATGCATGGAACATTACATGGGATTCTTTCTCTAGTCTGAGACCCTCAGTTTACTCAGAATGTACAAATACTGCCTTAGTCATTTTGGCCACAGTATAGAAATATGAGTTTATTATGAAACAAAAAGGAAGGGAAAATTCCATAGTAATATAATATTATATTAAGAAGTAATATGGAATCTGTGTACTATTTTGGTATAGAAATGTTCAAAGAACTGATAACAAATAAAGCTAATATTTAAGCACCATCATTTTTTATTCTTTGAATGACCTCACAAATTCTGTTATTTTAGAGCAATTTTAATCATATGTGTTCATGGGCACTGATATGTATGGCAAAAATCAGTGCACTTTTTAGCATTACTTCTATATATGCAGCATTCTTTTTTTGCTGACCTGAATGTGTGAGCAATTAGTCTGTACTCATATTTTGCGTGGGCAGAAATAGCTCTTGTTACCAAAAACTTGCCTGTCCATAGGGACTCAGGTACGCTGAAGTCATTGCTGGCTGTCCTCTAATTGTGTATTTTTCCATAAATGAATTTGCTAACTGAAAACCTGTGAAAAAATGGAGGTAAGTTTCTCTAACTTTTGATCAACTCTGCTTGCTTTATGCTTCTTAAATAAGACAGTAACATATTTATGACATGTATTCTTTGATGATGAATTGCCTGTTAAGTAATCTGAACTTTGTATATTTTGTTTTGTCATCTTTTATTTCTTTCGTGCTATGAAAATGGGATGGTTCCTACTTTTTAAAGTTTAAGCAGAGAATATTTTCATTTCCCAATAATTTTCAGATAATTTCAAACATGTATTACCTACTGTCTGGTTCATCGAAATTGTAAGATGTTTTATAGCATAAATGATCTTATCCCAGGCTGATGTACAATGCAAGACCATACTTACCAGAAACAGTAATCTGTGTGTACCTGCGACTGGGATGGGAACAAGGACAGAAAGCTCCTGCGTCCTGTCCCACACCTACTTCTTACAGCGCCTGCATGTTGTCCAGACATTGACCCCTTCCTTTTCCAGGGCAAGAAGTGTAGGAAATTGAGAGAACAAGCAGAAAGCACAGGACTTTTTTAGGAAAGGAGAGAAAGGAAAGAGGAGTTTATCCAAAAGTCTCAAAACTGAATCCTCCCCACATCTCGTATAAGCTTGCTTAACATTAAAGCTGACGAGCCCATCGCCACCTCCCAAAAGTTCTTGTGCCACTTCCCAGACTTACTTCCCCCCCAATTTTTTTCTTTTATCACTAAAAATATTTTCTTGCTGAAAAGAGATTTCTTTAAAATTCGGCTTTTTGCAAGATGATAAGACTCGAGACAGCTCTGTTCAGCGGATTGATAGAGAAACATAGATAATTTTAGGCCATATTTATTATTCAGTAGTCTATTTGAAGTTTGCACTATGTATTTAAGTTCTTCAGGCAAAATTTCCCCCTAGACTGTACATAAGTATTATACTTGCCCTGTAAACCAGAAATGATGCTGCTTTCATAACTTGAGAATGACTGCTTGATGTGCCACTTACACTTGTTGCAGGGTGGTGAGTAGTCTGATCAGATTGATCCAAATTAAAAAAAAAAAAAGGTTGAAGTTTGAATCAACGTTAGAACAAGCAGTATTCATGATGTGTTAGGTTATGGTAGCCCCTGTTCTTATGACTAAATTTGAACCATAGTTGTAAAGCACAATTGTACAGAAAGCTATTAAAGAATAACATTGATCTTGAATTGTCTTGGAATTTGCTTTTAGCTATTCATGCACACCATACAAAAACTTTTTAGTGGAAATTTGTAAAATATGGCTTCTGCCATATAACATTAGAGTTATAGTCAGTTTTGGAATTTGCTATGCATACATATGACAGCTGTAGAGCAGCTTCCAGATTATTTTCCTAATGTAAGAACATGCAAAAAAGCTACTGCACAATTTCTGGGTTTATGTTTGTAACTTAACATGAAAGCAGGTTCATGCAAGGTGGACTGTTTCACGTACTATGTTAATACTAATTAAATTTATTTGGAATATCTTTGAAATATCAGTCATAGTGTATTTAGAAGTACAATATTTGAAGCAGTAAATATATTAATGTTTAGCCCCAAACCTGTAAATACTATCATTTTAGAGCTTTTCTAATTCATATAAATATATAATTTTAATGAAGAAAATATGCAAATTTAATGGTAAGAAGCTGACTTTCAAGATGCCACATGAATTGCTACTTATTTAACATATGTTGTAAACACCATTGTGTGTGATGAAAAGTGTATGTGGTGATCCTTTTCTGTCAGGTTTTGGCACGCATACCTGTGTTGAGATAGGACCAAACTGGGGTTTTACTACCTGATTTACTTCTGGGACCTGTCAAAAGATTCAGTCTTTTCCTTTGAGAAAATTTCTCTGTCAAGCCATTAGTCCTCTGCTGCTCTGTGTTCCCTGATGGGGTAATGGGTGAGTGGAGCTTTCCTGCCACTGTCATGGCTTAAGTAGTCCAAGCACCTCGTACCTAATCACTTAGGAAATGGGACATCTTGGCCCAAGGGTGCTCAGATGCTAATCTCTAACTATGGAAAGAGCTGTACTACTTTAAGGATCTATTTGCCACTACTAATACCCGATGTTCTTACAAACGTATGTAAATCTGTGTTCTGCTTTGTCATTTTCCAGTATAAAATATCATGTTCTAATAAGGTGTCTTTTTTTTTTTTTAAGATACATATTTTAATTCTCAGGATAGTACTGGCTTTTTTCCCCAGTAATCACAATATAAAAAACTGAATTATTTTCATCAGATTGTTTTATGTTTCTGAAATGCTTCGAACAATATAATGTAACAGAGTATTTAGAGAAGACCATATGCAAGAGTAACCGTGGAAGTGAATGAATACTGACATCAGAGGATAGGGAATTGACCTTAAGTAGCGCCAACCAAAACCACTTAACAGGAACAATAAAATGAAAAATACATTCTTAATTATTTTTTTATCTTCTTATTCTGCTATTTTAATGTTAGGATAGCTAGATATTGAAAAGCATTCTGGAAAATAGTAAGTATACTGAAATCTGAAACTTAAGTTTCTCAATGGAAAATTCGAAAATAGAGAAGGAAAAAAAAAAAAAGGGGGGTGGGGATGGGGGAGTGGAAACCAGAAAAAAAAAATCCAGTGTATTTTAATTTCCAGCAGTCAAAATTAAATTGCCTGATTAGTTGTTATTTAACCAACTCCAAATTTTAACATATTTTAAGCATCCTGTGGAAATGAAATGATCGATAGAAAGTTTCATGGCAAGAATTCTAATTTACTGGCTGGTTCTACCATTTCAGTCTTTTTCTGGGATGCTAGTAAATGCACTAGATGTTCTTTGATAAAAAACTGTGATACTCAGATATTGAAATATGAGACATTGTTATAAACCCATGGTTTAAATCCTTGCTAAGAACACAGTTTGTCCATGTGAATTATTAAGTTTGTAGATTAGTGTAGTTCTGCTGCGTCTCTTGTGTATTTTTCACATATAGAAGACATCTACTTTTACTTGACATATTAGAAATGTCATGAACCAAAAAATCACCGTGCATTTAAATGAGTAATACAGTAAATGTAATTACATGCCGTGTTTTAGAGCTAATTCCAGTACTTGAGTAACTGTGCGGTGCAAAATAGGCAAATGATGGTTTTGATCAGTTTGTTTTGCATTACTTTGATTTTTGAAAACGATCTGTTCCCACGATAAAGTTATCAAAATCATTAAAATGAACCAAAAATTGTTAAAATTTTCTCATTTATATGGTTTTGAGATAAAAACTATAATGTAAATTGTCAAGCAAAGTTTGGAGAAATGGTTATAAGAAGTTGAAGTTGGAAGAATGCCCCTGATCTGAGATGTGATATGGGATGTGTCTAATGCCCCAAATGTGCTATATATACGCCTTCTATTTTGAAAGGAATGCAATTCACAGGAGCACAGAAAATGTCATTTTATGTCATATTGTGCATGACAGCGGCTAGTACCAGATGCTGAAACAGCAAGCTCTGTTTTATTCTTATACCTAATAGCCAAAGAGACACTATCTTGTTTCCTTAGCGCTTAGTTTTTACACCTTGATGAGTTTAGGAGATGATTAGCTTTGGTGTGTCTGTTTGACTGCTTCTACAGAAAGGAGGATTTTGTACATTCTCTCCATCATCCAGCTGCCATGTGCATCTTTCTGTTAATGTTATTCAAGCTAAGCTTTTACTTGTAGCCGGTGCTTCCTGATGCTCCCTCTTACATATATATACACACACATATATATGGATATATGTGTATGTCTGTACCTGTAAATGGGCTTATATGCTGGCTCTTAGAAGGTCACCTCAGCATCAGAGGTTAATCAGAGTAGCTAGCACTGCACATAGACAATTTAGAAGCAGATGAAAATAGCCAGGTCAGTGCACCACATTAATGTAGCTATGTTATTTCTGGGAGCTGAGGTGGTATTACACAGTATTGTGCAGGGTAGATGAATCAAAGCGGTTAGATGGCAGGTCAGGTACCCCTAATGATTGTGCTGTGCTCCATACCCTTTGGTTCAATTCTAAAAGTGTTTCTCTTAAATCAAGGGAGGGTAGTTAGAGAAAGGAAAAATATTATTCTATTTCACCTGTCATGGGAGGGGAAATTAAAGAGGAGCAGGGCGTCCCAAGTTCATATCTGATTCTTTATGCTGAGCTATCAGGTGGTGCAAGGATTGGTAAAGGAAGGTGTCATTGTAGCAAATGTAGAAATCCCACAAGTTTGAATTATCTGTAGACTTGGTTTAAGAGACCATTTTCAGCTAGTTGTTGTGATACATTTTTTTTATCATACGAGCCCATATACAATTAATTTTTTTTCCCCAGTTCCCTGTTGAATTACCAGAAAAACATTTGTTTCATTACATAAAAGAAAAGTAGAATACACATTTTATAAAAATGTCAGTTCATAATATATGCAAATCTGTGTATAGATTACACCTAAGTCTTTCATGGCGAGACTCAAACTCTCAAGAGAGACTTCAGCAAAGGATGAGTAAACAAATGCTTAGATGCCTGCTGTTGTACAGGCGTTGATAGTTGTTGACATAATGACATGTTTCAATCTTACTCTGAAATACAAATAGGTGTTTCGCAGTGTTGTTCAAGTTAATGAAGTGTGCTGAAGGCTATGTCTCCAAATATTACGTATTGCTACATAATAAAGGAAAAGTAAGCTGAACTGGAGATTTATTTTTAAGAGCGTCACTGTGAAGCTCTGCTAACTTAGGTATGAGCTCTTCCAACTGTAGCTTGGTCAGTTACTGGTAGACCTGGAAACCAATCCTGATTTGGAAGTGATAACTGTTGACAAGGGCAGTGGAAGGTATTTTGTTACCTAGGGAAGCATACATCTACTGCCTTTCCTGCTTTTGTCATCTTCCAGGTCCTCTTATTTCTCTTCTCTTCTCCCAGCTTCTCTCAGACACGTGAAATGGGAAGACAGAGTTCTGGAAGGGATATCTGCTTGCTTCAAGCACACCTTTTCTTTATCTTCTCCAGCAGCTTAATAGTGAAGGTGAATAGGCCTCCTCACTGCACATCTCTGTTACCTGCTGCTGGCTCTAGTATGAACTGGAGTACTAACTACCACTATTGTACAACACTTCAGCCAGTGTGCTACTAATCTGCTGCTCTCGGTGCGGCAGATACTGTCTTTGGTCCTGCGTGCTTTTTCTGCCTTTGCTGTTTCTGGTCAAAGAAGCTATCCTTTCCATCACCAAGCAGCTGTACTATTGTCTGTTTGCAGTTAGGTGCTCACAAATGTTGGCTTGTAAAACTACATTCAGTCAAATAAGCTTTCAGGACACTCTGGAAACACTGTCTCTGTCAATGCTGTTTCCTCTTTTCATGCATCAGCACAGGAAAGCAAGTTGGGTGTTGCTGCATTGTCTGCCTAAATCACATCTCTGACCTGTTCTGACAGGGCTTTCATTACTATTGCTTTAATGACCGTAGAAATGAAGCTCCAAAAGACTGTCATGGGTGTCCCTGCCGTACAGCTTCATCTACAGTAAGATGTGAAAGTATCTGTACTAGAACTGTTTATAGGAGTTTGCAATAGTTTGCAAAGGATGTTCTTAATTTCTAGATATATATAATTTCATAATACTTTATACATCAAGCATTTATTTCTGAGGACCTTAGTTGGGTTTTGGTGGCATACCTGAGTAATGAAACGGAACTTTATGAATTAAAGCAAGCTGTGGCACATACATGTTTATTTTGTGCGTTTTACGTTTTTTTATTAGCATAGTTTGAAAAGTTCTGTTTAGCACCCAGGAGAAAAACCTTAAACAGCTCTACATTTTGTTTTTCAGTGTGCAGTGACCTGGAATTCAGGGAGGTTGCAAACAGATTGAGAGACTGGTTTAAGGCACTTCATGAAAGTGGAATTCAGAATAAGAAGACTAGGATTGTTCAAAGGCCTGAAAGAACCAGTAAGAGATTTCTACTTGTCTTATTTGATATTCTTTCTGATCCTATTCTGTACTTTTGTATTTCCATTGCTAAAACTTGCCTTATTCTCATGTACTTTAAATAAACATGTGTACGAAACCATAACTTTGTGCTTTTCTAAAGTTAATTTCTTATTTATGACTTAGTACTGATATAAGATGTTCACTTTAAACTTAAAATGTTCACGTAAAATTTGGCAGGACTCTTGCTTGTAAGAATGTATGGCAGCTACCGTTCGCAATGCTTTCATTTGTGAATGCTATCAAAATGTCTATTTGGTAGAGCTTGATAATTAACTGCTATATAAGGAGGCAAAACAGTAGAAAAAAGTAGGGATTGTCAGCAATTTTTCCATAGAGAAAAGTGAGTTGCTGAATGGCTAGTCCTGGGAAATAATGTATAGGAGCTGTAATTATGTGTGACCCATTGTTGCTAGTTGATGCCACTGTAGGTACTGGTACAGAAAACACCATGGGAAAGAAGCTTGTAAGCAAAAAGGAATTTTCAAGGCTGTACTTCAAATTAGAAATGACTCAGGAGTACCAGTGTAGTGGAAACAGTAAGGGGCATAATTTGGTTTTAACCCCCTCAAATATTTAAATAGGGTTTGGTAAAGTTTTTAAATGCAATTATCAAAGGGCTTATTTAAAATAGCAATTGAAGTGTGCAATAATAATTTCAAGAGTGATGTCCTACTGTGAAGGAGAGTCATATTAGATTTCATAAGCTGTGAAACTCTACCTTTCATTAATAAGAAAAGCAAACTATGAATTCCTCCAGAGTATGTTTCACAGAACTTGGCCACCACTGGCTGCTTACCTTAGTTCCTTCATTATTAACTTTTTAAGTGGGTTTGGGGTTTTTTTAGTTTTTGTTTGATTGCTATTTGTGGCATTTCTTTTTTCAAGAAATCAATTTATTTCATTTAATTGGAAATGTAATTTCTTTGTGTGATTTTTCATGCTAAGGAAATACGAATAATTCTGTAAAACACAGTGAATTAAAGATGATTCTGTGTTATCTGGCAATACTTCTCTTAACATTGGGAAAAAATGTTTCTGGGGTAACACAGTAGTGTCACTTTTTATTGATATTGAAAAAAACACATTTAAAAACATATATTTCCAATTTACATTCTGGTTGGTGCCCATAACTGGCATGTGATCTGCTTCTCATCCAGTAATGAAAACAACAGAAATACAAAGTTTGTGGCTCTTAAGTAAGCATTTATTGTATAGTAATAAGTAAAATGCATCGAATAATATAGCTAGTGTTAGCACTTTGCTCAGTTAAAGGTCAGCTGAAACATTGTGTAGGGTCCTGTTTCTTGCTGAATACTCACTTTGTTGAGGGTAACACGCTGAATAGGTAAGGTCAAAAATGCAGCACAGCTGTTTAGAAGCCTGGTTATCCAGTAAAAGTTCGAAAAGAAATTTGGGCAATGAAAAAAGAAGCAACTCTATAGCTATTAAGTACTAAGACATACAGAAATAAGAAGTCAGTGTTTCAAGTAATTGGGTTCTATGCTATACAGGAATGTAAAGTTCATAATTAATACTCTGAATACCTTGAAATGTAGTGCAGGCACAAAGTTCGTAAGATTGAGCAATTTTTCCCTTAGACATTTTCCTTGACCTTTTTTCCTTAAGCACACAGGTGGCATTGATAAGACCTAGTATCTATACTTGAGACAAGTATTTGTATCATGATGTATATATGGATATATTATACTCACATTTATTTTATCACTTGTTTATTTGCAAATTTTTACTTTATAATAGCAATCAAAGACTATATTTAGACTTAAGATCTAAGGTTTTAATACGTGTAACTAAAGATGCAAGAGTCTTGTGGATTTTTGGACCTTATCAAATATATTATGGGTTCCAGACTGGTTGGCTTGTTTTCAAACTTTAGTGATCACTTACTGTAATATTAGTAACACTTGTAAAATTGAGTGGTGTCTACCTAATGTTGATTTTACATCTAGTACATTCTAAATGTTCATGTTTTGACACTTCATGTACAACGCAGAAGATAATAACCATCTACTTAGATTATGTAGACCAAAGCAATTGTGAGATATGTGGTTATTTCTAGAACAGATTGTTCAACTGCATGAAGCACTTTGGTCTGTAAGCATGAGGAGCTCTTCTGCAGAAAATGTTATGCTCCCATTCTGATGAGCTTCCTCCAGGGTTTTGGAGTCTGTGGGATCTTTCCCACCTAACCTGAGCTAGTAAAGGAATCTTTGTAAGGCAGGTATAGAGATGTATTTGCCTTTAAAAGCCTTCAGAGAAAGATCTCCTCTACAAATACAATTGTTCCAATTGAGGGGGAAAAAATGGGTTTCTGGCCTACTTTTCAGGATTTCCTTTTGGAAACCTTCAAAGTAATGAAGTTCTCTCCTCTGACAGTATAAAGAATTCACACGTACTTTAGGAGGTATCTGTAATTTTAGGCTCAAGTTAGACTAGATCCTACTCTACCAGTTTTTTGAGAGACAGAAACAAGAGTTGATTTGAATGGCCAAGCATAGTCTTTTCAGGGCTCTTTTTTGTCAACAAGTGAGGAAATATCATCCCTGTGGAAAAATCTGTTTTCATTGTGCTGCTGACTTTAAATTCCCTGTGAACATGGTGCTGTCAGAAATGTTTGACTTACACTTGTAACATGGTACCAGAAATTAATCCTAAACAGCTAGAATGTTGTACAAAATATTAATTGATTACTATGCTGGTTTTAAATTATATTTTCTGTTTCAAAGAGTTATACCTCATCAACTTTAAAATAGAGGTAGTGTTGTTGTAAGAACTTTGAAAAGTTTGCTGTTTGTTATAGGAATGCTAGGACGTAAACGTGGAAGTTCAATGATAGGCTTTGTCATGTTTATTTTCTTTTTACTAAAACAAAGCAAATCAAATTGTAGAAAATAGTGACGTGTGAGACATCCCGTTTGTCCTATCTTTTCTTCTTTTCTTTTTCTCTTTAAAAAAGAGTTTTTCAACAAAACCCACAGTGTTTCACAAAAACATTTGAACAATAGCTGTTTAGTGTTTTAATACTGTGGTCAGTTACTCAAATTGCGTATATCTAATTGTGAAAAAAAATTGCTTTCAAATATAAAAGATCCTATTTGCGCAATATTTACTTGATTTTGTAAATAGCCAGTATTTACTTGATTGAATTAATTTGACAGGCTACTGCAAAAAGGCAGTCCATCTGTAGACGGAAAGTGATCGAATGAATATACAATCAGTAGTAGTTTTCTTTCATTTGTGGATTTGGGGATGCAAAAAACTGGTTTCCTTAATGCAAATGTATAGTTTTTCTGGTACGTACATTTCTGAACTTCAAAATTTCTCATTTAAAGCAGCAAAAGGTACTGCATCTCATGAGAAATGAACATGTCTGTGATTTAGAAGAAAATATTAGGTCACTATGTCCCTGTAAATACACAAAGAAACAAAAATAATGATAGCCATTCAACATGGTAATGTCCTTTCTAATACTGTTAAGAAATTCTTAGAACTGTTCTTCAAGAGCTAAGCTCTGTAGTAGTATCTCTGATGAAATCCCTCTATCTCCAAAGGCATAGTAGTTCCAAGACATGGAGCATCTTAATTTTTAAGTATACCAGGGAGTCCAACCCCTATTTTGGGGATGACTGAGAACTACACCTAGAAATAAATCTTGCAAAGAACTTCCTAAACATGTGTAACGGCCTTATACTTCGCACATGAGACTTAGTGTTCTGTAGAGGACAACAGCTACGACAAAAAGCCACCTGAATGCAGCTTCCCCTTTCAGAGTCCCTGGAGTTGTTCATTACCCTTGGGGAGTTAAAAATCTGTTTTGGCACCCTTTCCCCCCAGGCTATCCTTTATTCTTGTCACAGAGTTCCTTCCTCACTGAAAAACCATTCTGCATTTAAAAAAGCAATTTGTGACATCTTTTCTGGTTGTCTGTTTGCATTTAGAATTTTTCATATTTCAGTCTCTCTGGTGGCACTTGGGACAGGATTTATTAAAAGGCTTGGACACAGTCCTTCTGACCAAGGTAGATGTGGTGCAACCGTATAGTGCCTTGCTGGTGCTTTTCAGAGTTGTTCCAACTATTAAGTAGTCTGCATTGATCCATACAATCATTAATATTATTTCTAAACAAACCAAACAAAGGTGTTTAAGTTGTTCTCCTAAAGCCATGAATATGCTGATAACAAGTTTAAAATGTAAGGTGCCTACATGGTTGTGTTTTTACAAGAGTTACGTAATTTTGTTTAGCTAGCGCTTATTTTTTTTCCAAAACTGAATCTTACTAGTAATACAGACTAGAATATTTCAAATAATTAATAGGGTTTTATTTCCAAAATACCTTTTGTGTTCGGGTGTATTCAGATTGCATATATTTAGAAGTATCATTACTGTAAGTGCTATATAAACACTTAAATCTTGTCCTCAGGCCATTTATGGTCTAAATAGATGACACAAAGGGGAAAAGGATACTTTACCCCCATACTACAATAATACTCCCATTATTATTCCCTTGTGGATGGGGAAATAAGGAGTTGAAAAATTAAGTGAGATTTTTACATTTCTGTTTAAAGTCTTTTAAAGTATCTATTTCTGCATTAATGTTGTGTGATAAAACTCCAGGGAATTAATGCATCAAAAGCAAAGCACAAAAAATACCGTAGTCCCACAAATATTTCTGCTAACAGGCAGTCTATTTCTGAAGAATACTTGTGCGCCTTGTCATGTTAGAAGATGAAAGACCAGAGGCCAAAGGTAATAGAGAATCTTCTTATGGCTTGGGAATAATATGATTATTTGGAGTCTAATACACTAATAATTTTGAAAATAACAGAAAAATACGAGAAGTCTGAAAGAAAATTACTTATAATTGGCTTGTCTAGAACGAGCATGGTGAGATATTGTTACACTAAAATTACCAAATCCTCTTACAAACTTGCAGCAGGAAA